GCAGCTCAGTTAGCTCGAGCATAATATTTGTTTATATGAAATATGATATGTATATATGTTATATATAGTATACATATATATATGCATAGTGTTGTTGTATATCCATTCGGATCATTTTATACACGAGCTGACACATAATTGCAGCATTAATTATTAAACTTAAACAAATAGTTAAATGCATAATTTATAATAAAAATGATTTCTATACATAATTTATGCATTTCTTTAGAGCAATTAAATTAATAGTTCTATTTGCATAAATTTATATTTAAATCGAAATGAATAAAAATTGTGTTTATTTTTTCGCCCTCATACATTCAAATGAGTTAACGGTAAATTTAATATTTAACAGAGCATGAATCAACTAATAATTACTCAAATTGCCGCACAGCCAAAAAAATAAATAAATAAATAAAAATAAAAAATAAAAATGCATCGAAATGTAAATATTGGCATTTTTGCACAAACCTTTTTATTTTGTTGAAAACGTTTTTAATCCAGGTAAAAGTGCAAAACACATAAAAGCGAAAAACTTCAAATCTTTAAATCAGATTTACCAGCCAGGCAAAGCTTTTCAGTCATGGTATTTCTGTGTGCATGTGTGTGTGAGTACATCTATTGGATACATTTTGTACAAGGCCTAACTCGATACTGCCATTAAAATGATTGAACCACAAAAACCAGAAATCCACAATTCACCAGCAAATTTGCCAAGTAAACGGATTAAATTTCTCGTTTTTCGCAATGCGGAAAAATCAAAATTTAAATACAACAACGAGATACCCTGACAACGGCATATCTATTAAGTGAAGAGACTTTTGTTATCCGCTAAAAGAATTTAGATAATTATAAGTAAAATAATTAGAGTAATTCATTTAAGAGTATCATGTATTATAGAAATATATTTTTATTTAAAAAAAAATTTAATGCAATTTGTCTTTATATGTTTATTAAATTGAAATTGTTGGAATTTATTTTAGTTCTTTTCATTATTAACTTTTTGTACAATTTTAAAAACTTTTTATTCAAACAATTTTTTATTTAAGAAATTTTGAATTGTTAATTACAAATTTAATCTAATTTTATTTTTAAAATGTCTATTAAAAAAATAAATATTTTGTTATCAAAAAATTATTTGTAATTATATATAAATGGAATTTATTATATTTAAATTATTATCAAAAAAAGTTTGAAACCAAAACTATAAAAATAAAATCAGCGGTTATATATTTTTTTTATTAAAAATTAATTTATGGATATAAATTAAAATTATTACAAATTTTAAATCATTATTATTTATTCAAAACATGAAGTATTTACCCTGAGTTAATTATTTAAATGAAATGTATACAAATATTAAACATATACGACACATTTTCTGTTCAAGCTGAGATGCTTCTCATTGAGAGAAAGAGTATAATTATAAAGTCTTGTTACAATATCGTAATCAATTTAAGCATTTCAAATATAAACAAAGTTCTCGGCAACGCCGGGTTAAGTTTGGATGTTTGATTTCAGCAGGGGGTGTGGCTAAGAGAGGCGAAGCGGGCGAGTGGGCGTCTTGTGCAATTCAACTGGCAGGAAAACTTCGTCAGCCTGACGCGTTTCCGTCTGACAAATATTTGCGTGCAAAAATTGTGTTGAACAGGAAGCGAACGAAAAGAAAGAGAAACAAAAATTATAAGAAAATATGTGCCCAGAGAAAAATGTACAGTAAGTTATGCTCAGGTGAGATGAGTGCGCAGGCAGATATGAATAAAAAATCCAACTGAAGCTGAGCTGTGTGAGGGTGCTAGAGCAATCAACGTTGCTTTACATACGCACACACACACAAACACATATACACACTCAGTCAGTCATTCAAGAGAAGGCAGAGTAATTTACGAAAATTATGCTAAGCTCTTAGCAGATTTGATTGAAACAGTTTTGCATAAACAACAAATGCTGGCTAATGGAGTGCAGTCTAGGCGTATAATTATTATAAGAGAATCTAGCACATATACGAGTACTACATTTAAGCCTAACTGATTGCCAAATGCAAATAGGAATTAGATTGAATTACGCATACGCCATGCGTGCGCCCAAGCAAATGGCAGCTGCATACACTGGCATTCACGAGTGACACTTGAATTGATGGATGAATGTTCAGCCAGCTCTCGTCAACTGATTGACCCGTTAGCCAACACCCACAACAACAGCAACAACTACAACATCATCATCATCGTCATCATGGTGTCAGGCAAGAGCAGTCAGCTGCATGGCGCTATCATTATGGCTATCACTGGCAATCCAGTGATAAACTGCAAGATGGCTAAACATCATGAAGTCAATTATATAATGACGTCGCTAGTTAACGCCTCGCCCGGCTCGATGCGTCGACCACTTGACATGCTCGTTACAATTTATGGTTTGTTTGTATTGACAGAAGGAGGGTCGCCTGGCTATTGCACATGCCACATGCCACATGCCAATGGCTGGGAGAAGTCTTCTTCACTTCTTCACTCGCTTGGCGGCGCCACAATTTGACGGCATTTGCTGTTCACTGGCTGCAAAGAAATTGCTGAACCCAAATAGCTGTCAAAATAATTGTCGATGGTCGGATAACTTGCGAGGCTCATAAACCATAACACAGGTCCATGCCAGCGCATGTCAATGGACACATAAAATTAGAAGAATATCCAATATTAATTGGAAAGTGAACTTTATGTGGGCAATGAAAATGGAAACTTGAAATAAGATGGTACCTGAGTCAAGTCTTATAGAATAAGTATAGAAAACCAACAAGAGTTCTTTAGATGGAATATGAGCAATTAGTTGCATATGTATTAGTTGAATACTGTTTCAAATATAATTGAAATTAGCATTAACATAAGCAAACATGTAATCTGGCAACACCCTATGAAGAATGTATTTAACATTTTACTCAGTTTATATTTTTACTCTCTATTAAACATTTAACCGAACCACAACATTTTTACTCTCGCTGGCATTGCATCGCCAATATTAATCCAGCACACCTAACATAACTTTTCTTCTTCTATATAAAAATCTTTCATCATAGTTTAAGAGTTTTGATGAAATCTAAATACAATATAATTGCCAATATAATTATTATATTTATTTTATTAAATTTTTCTCCGCAAAGAGCAAACAAGAATTCAAAAAATTCGAAATATTCATAGTTTTGTATTCATTTCATATTAAATGTATATATAATCTGAAGATCTTATGTTAATAAAATCCTGCCTAAAAACGAATGAAAATTATCGATTATTAATGATAAGTATAAAGAATAAGTGATTATATTGTATAAGATTAACATAGCTCGCAAATAACTGCTATACGATTAATTTTCCTGGTTCTGGTTGAGGCAGCATCCGAAATAATTATGCTCTGCAGCTCCCGCTCTGAGCAAAAGCCTTCGGTTCTTTTCGTTTTGATTTTCGGTTGAGCGTTTAGTGTTGACTGTGGTCGCTCTTTATACGAACATCGTTTAGAGAGTGAACGATAGACGTTCGCACAATGAGTGCTACGCTCAGCCGATTAAGCAGAGAGAAATAGATTCGTGCTGTACAGACATTAGTCATTCGTGCTGCTTTTCTCTCACATGAAACAGCTCTCATCACATCGGCTATGAAGCCCTTCGTACTTCGAGCATTATAAGAACGTCGTTCACATAGTGCAGAGGCAAGATCACAGCTCAGAGGCAAGACAGCTCTGCTATCATCTCTTACAGACATACTTCATATATAAACATACAGTTGGACAACAAATCAAGTTATATAGTGTCTTCATTATATTTGATTTTATTAATTAATAAATCATTTTTATTTATAATTTATTTTAAAATTTTATAATTATTTCAATTAATATAATTTCAAATCAATTAATATAATTTAATTTAATTTAATAGTCTAAAAGGCTGATTGCCCAATCAGATTTGAAACCTTCAAACTTGCAAATTTTACAGATTTATTTCACATAATCACACAAATCCCTATAATTTAGCAAAATAATTATGACCGAGATCATAGGTCAAATGTAAGCTTAACCGCTTCCATTCAAAATAAAATAAGTAAAAAATGTGAAATAAACATAAACATAAAGTCAAATAGAAAACAATTAAAAGTTATAATGTTGCAGTGAAATGATAATAAATAACTAAGCTGAGATTAAGTTTTATGTAATTATTACATACATTTTTTGTATTGAATGACAGTCAATATTCATGTATAGGTATGCATGTGAATATTTGTATATGTATAGGTATATATAAAAATAAAAATACTGCATACATATATAATGTTATGTCAGCAATTGCGCCATACAAAATCTCTCGTTATCTGTAAATCAAAATTGAAAAAAAAAAAAAAAATAACAATACCTAATTAATGACGTATTTATAACTAACCTTTGGTCTCTATATATACAAGATTATCTGTGCAAGATTTATGCATATCTATATATATATATATATATATTTTTTTTTTTTATTATTTTAAAGAGTATTTAACGATTATACGCTTGATTATGTGTGCTAAAATGTAATACAATATTTTAATACCCCAAACTCAATGGACGCAGTTCAGGGTAAAAGAGTTTTCTCAACATTCACATACAAACAGAATTTTTTTTTTTTTTTTTGCAGTGCGCAATGTTTAATATACTGCATTTGCACATATGCATTTCGTCTTAAAGAGAATTTTATTCTCTTCACGATGATCTATTTCCAACAACAACAAAAATATGACTAATTTATTCAAACGATTGACTTAAGAGATAAGAAAAAATTGACCACTATTAATTCGAACACTGCGTAATATATTCTTAATCAGCAGCAAGAGTGCTAGATGGGCATTCTCAGTCTATAATAATTTTATATATAATATAATAATTTTTATTTATATTTTATTCCCATTGCAAGTCTCTCAAGCTTGATTTATTATTTCTTATTTCTATAAGAAATAGTCGGCGTAAGGCAGCTTCAGGTGTTTATTGTCCATTTTTATTCATAACAAAGAAATAAAAATAAATAAAAGTAGAGCGTTGCGCCGAAATTCATGAGAAACTTAGCTTTAGACGAGCACAGTCGACTTTGAGCAGATCTTTGAGCAGGTTGTCAGAGGCAATCATAAATCACAATAGCATAGAATAGAGACAGCATTGTAAACAATATATAATTCAATTGCAATGAACACAGAAATTGTGTTGATCTTGCTGCTGGTGGCAGCTCGCGGGGCACAGGTCGATGGGAGGCAGCAGATGGCAACAGAGGTGCACGATGAGAAGTTCTACTACTTTGGCTTTGGCAGCAACATGCTGGCCAAGCGCATTCACATCCAGAACCCCAGCGCTCAGTTTGTGGGGCCCGCCACGCTGGCGGAGCACCGACTGGACTTTGCAACGATAGCGGACAGCAGATGGAATGGCGCTGTGGCTACCATTGTGCCGACTAGGGAGGCGCTCACCTGGGGCACGCTGTGGGACATCGAGCTGACCAACTTGGCGGACATAGACAAGTGAGTAGTGAGCAGCGGCAATCGATATGTATGCTCATTCATATTTCACATATTCTCATCTCAGTCAGGAGGGCGTCCATGAGAACCTCTACAGACCCATCACAGTGCACGTGAAGCTGCATGGGAATGGCACAGAGATCGCTGCGAGAGCTTATGCGCTGGTGAAGCAGCCCGAGGGCAACGTGCATGGCTCAGGGCAGTCAGTCGTGCCTGAGGATCGTAAGCCATCCAAGACATATCTACAGGTGCTCGTCAAGGGTGCCATTGAGAGCGGAATTCCGCAGGAGTATGTCAATTGGCTGAAACAGATTAAGCACAATAACAAAACGGCAGCGGATATGGAACGGCTTCTGGAGTTGGAATCAGTGAAATTGTAGAAAATATTGCAACAAATCAATGACAGTTATAGAATATGTTAATAAAAAGTATTGGAATTCGATAAACAAACCATGTGGTTGTGATCTTGGCTAACGGCTGTTTGCAGTGAAAATTACTGAACTGCTTCAGAAGTGGGATGGATACTAACCAAACTGTTCTCACGCATTAGCTAATACTCAAACCAAGTGCACAATTCTTATTGGTTGGTGAATTCGATGTGGGTTATTATTTATGTGAGAACTGTGAACAGTAAAATGAGCATAATTGAATTTTCTTATCAGTATTAAAGAAATCTCAGATGTTTGTTTTGTTATCAGCGAAAATTTGGATTATAGTAATATATATATATATATATATATATATATATAATCCAACAAAATATATAAAAATATATATCGTACACTTTTTTTATATTAAAGGACAATATATTAAATAAAATTGTATATAATATTAAATACATCACTTATTTTGTTTCAATGTAAAACAAATATTTAATATGATTGTTATTATAAATTAAAAATTACACATACTACACAAATAAATTATTTTAGTCCACAGAAAGCGTAACAAACTTTTGTAGTATAGTGCTAAAAGCTTTACCCGCTTGCTTTCGCTTTCTCAATGTCAAAGTCAGTCGCTTGCGGTCAGCTGTGATAGCCACGCGTAAACAAATTTTTTGTAGCAGAAAGTGCAATTTAATAATCAAATTGGTAAATAAAAATATTAGTAAATTAGTTTGAGATTGCAAATATATATATTGACGAATGCCTATATATATTTAAGGGTAATCAAAGAACACGTAAGTAATAACAAATTTTTGCTCATAAATTAAATCAGCTGTTTGAATTACAATAAAAATAAAAGCTGCGATAGGAGAAAAGCTTTCAACGGCAGCCAGCTGTTATTTATGAATAAAAAGAAAAGTCAAAAATATATAAATAAACCAGAAAAATATAGTCATTAAAAAAACAAAAATTATTAAATTAGATATGATCAAGTAATTGATTTCATATGCAATTCATTTAATTCTGCTAAAAATAATTTAATTAAATAAATGCAACAATAAACCTTCTTTAGCCAAGTCAACAACCAGTTAAACTGCTTGCGCTGACGATAAGCAGTGTACCAATATGCTTAACAATGGCTGCCAAACTGTAAATCCAAATTTGACATTTCCGACTTTTTCAAGCATATTTCCACATATTCCTTACGAAACTAAAATTCAACCCCAATTCATTTTCTGTTTCTGTTCAGTGTAGATCAAATTTGAAAATGTCCCACAAAGTTTAGTAAATTTCAAATTCTTTGCAGTTACACAAATTCAACACCAGCCAGCTTTTAGCGTTGCAACAATCCAGGCTGCAACATGGCCAATAAGTTCTACTACTTTGGCTTCGGCAGCAATATGCTGGCCCGCCGCATACACATACAGAATCCCACGGCACGACGCATTGGCGCCGGCAAGCTGGAGGTGAGTGTGGATCGGGCATTACAATAGATAACGATATATATTGAAACGCAACATTGCAGAACTATCGCCTCGATTTCCAAGGGGTGGGCTCGAATACCTGGCTGGGAGCACCGGCGACAATTGTGCCTACGCCCGGCTCAGATGTGTTCGGCGCCATTTGGGAGATAGATATGTGCAATCTCAAGGATTTGGATAGGTATGAGTGGTAGAGAAATATATAGAATGGCTTTAGACTAACAATTTGCTAAACTCCCCTGATAGTCAGGAGGGCGTGTCCGATGGCCTCTATATACCCATCAATGTGCCCGTGCAATCCTTGAACACCAATTCGGAAATCATCTGCCGCGCCTACCACCTCAGCAATCAGCCGGAGACAATTGTGCACGGACAGGCGGCGGCGGCTGCGGCTGACGTTGAGGTGCCATCGAATCGCCAACCCTCGCACACATACCTCAAAGTGCTCGTTAAGGGTGCCGAGGAGTCGGGCATACCCGGCGACTATGTCAAATGGCTGCGCGGCCTCAAGCACAACGGCAATCACGTGGAGGCCATGGAACTCAAACTGGAGCTGTCCACAGTGAAGCTTAGCTAATATTGGCCATTGTTTTCAACAGCTAACAATTTAAGTTGCCAATTCTTGATTTGTGTATTCCCGTTTCTGTGTATAAATTTTATGAATAATATATATATGTATATGTGCGTGTATACCCGAATATAGCGATGTTTTATTGGAATAGAGGGAGAATCTCTCATGACACATGTAATACAAAAAAAATCTCTGACTGGGCACTCAAAGTGTAATAATGTCCAATGTTATATACCCGAATATATAGCTTGCATGGGAATAGATAAAAAGGGGTTTGCCTAAGGGAAAATCCATCATGTTGCATGTAATACTAAAAAAGATCAGTGATTATATTACTTGAAGAGTAACCTCTTTAAAAGGTACAAAATTGTATACCCGGTTACAGATATATGTACCTTGTATTGGACGAGAGAAATAGAGGATCGCCTAAAGTTCATTCATTCAATACCATCGCATGGGAGGTTTGTCTAAGACTTTATCGTAACTCTTAGCGCAAGATCATCTGCACGAATCAAAGTTTCTCGATCTGCGAGCGTCGGCTTGGCCTAATGCAGTTAATGGGCTGAGAGAGCGAAAGTAAGAGAGAAAGAAACGGCATGACTAAAGGCAATTTTATTACTATTTATAAATCTCTTACAACTATAAATCTATTGATAGAAACACAAGTCTTAAATGAAAGTATATAATGTAGCAATGGTTGTTGGGATAAAAAAAAAAAAAATTTTATGTAAGAAATAATAAAAAAACAACAAAATAATTTAATAATAATTATCATGGTAATATATTATAATTATAATAATAATTATAATAGCTTACTATGATAATACCAGCCGTAAAATACTTATATATTATATTTACTTATGTTTTTTGAAGCCATACGAGAGTAGAATACTATTATTATAATAATACTAATAATAATATAAATATTTAAATAGCAGAATATTGTTCTGCTAGTGATAGAGCTCAGACGATTCTGGAAAATCTGCACAATTTCTGTATATTTACAGCTAGTTAATTGCTGATTAATAACATAAACTAAAACTTGAAATAATTAGCAAAAATAAAATATAATAAGAAGGTAATTTGCATTTAAAAAACTCCTTTAAATAAATAAAAAAAAAAATAAAAATAAAAATAAAATTGGAAATACTAATCGATATATTGTATAAATCAATATTTTTCTTCCAGTGTAGGATTATGGTTAAGTAGAAAATTACTAGGGTGTGCTGTGCTCTTAAATGATAAATGTAAAACTGAAATTAAAAAAAAAAATAGCAATATTATTTTTTTTTTTAATAATAGAAACAAAATTTTCTAAGAAAATTTATAGGAATTTCTATAAACAATATGCGTCAAAAAAACACTCTTAATTATTCCAAGCTTCGGCACTGCCAAATAGTTTACAGAAAAAAATGGAAAAAATGAATTTAATTAATTTTAATCACTTATTTATGATGATTACCAATTTCCTGTCTCGCAGACCATTGTCTCTGTCGAGTGCCCGAAAAACTTGCCCGGACACGGACACGGAACACAGCTACGTGAACGAACACGGCAAAGTTTTGTAGCCTTTTTGGCTGGCATCAACTAAAGTGCAATTAAAGTGCAATTTAGTGCGAGCCAAAGATGCTCGAAATGCGCTGCTTTGCAGCTAACTTGGCCCAAATTGAAGCCAACTTCAGAGTCTGCAGACGCTTAACGAGGCTCATCGAGCAGCAGCAGCAGCAGCAGCAACAGCAGCAGCAGCATTCTGGACTCTGGCTTATTAATTTAAATTTCCAGCACCAGTTCCAGGTCTGCATATTGTTGCAGTACCGAGTGGCTCCCAAAATGGAAATGCGCTTGGCCCGAGCATAGCCCAAATTGCGTGCCAAAGTAATAATAAACATAATTTGCAGGGCACACTCTGTACTGGCTAATTTGTGGGAGGGGGCGGTGCGGGGTTGAGGTCAGAGGTTACACTGCGTAGGAGCCTGAAGGGTCTTGAGGGCCACTTCGCTCTCTCCCTCTCTCTCCCCCTCTCTCTCTCTCTCTCTCTCTCTCTCTCTCTCTCTGGTTGCCGCTGAGGTGTCCAAGTGCAAAAGTTCGAGCACAATTTCGAGTTGGTCTTTAACAAAGTAAAAAGTTTTGGCCAAAGTGCGGCACTGGATGCCTTTGTGGCACTTGTTAGCTTGTTGTGTTGTTAAATACCCTAGCAAAATACACAATTTACAACGGGCTATATTAGCTCTGCAGTGGACTAGCAATGTCAGCGAATTAAGTAGTGTTGCAGTTGTTTTGTTGCGATGTTTATTCAACTTATTACTTTATTGTATTGTTAATGTCCTATAAACACATCCCACAGCGGGTATATTAGCTGTGATGTAGACTGACAGTTGCTGGAGTGGAGTATGATGAGTTCTTCCAGATTTAAGAAATATATGTATAATTAAAATAAATATAAATAACATTCTATTTTATTATCTGCCTGACTGATTCATACCCTAGAGAAAGCACAGGGCAGAACTATTCTGGGTATGCAAAATTGCTGTAAGACCTTGCAAAATTTTAATTTATAGTATTTTTGAATGAGGCTAAAATTGTAAAAAATATATATATAAACAGTTGACTTATTTTAATATTGCTGCAAAATACCCTGCAATATGCACTCAGATGATAATATTGGATAATATTGACCTTTTACAATGAAAAATTTTGTAAATTTCTATTTTTTAATAATTTATTGGAGCTTTTTACTCTAGTAATTAAAATTCATCTCTTTTTTTTTACTTTTCATAGCCTATTCCCTAATATTTTCTGTTGCTTAATACTCTGTAATGTGCATATAATATAGATTAATGACTTTGGAATGTAATTGAATTTCCTGATATACATTTTTTTTTTACTTTTTTTTTATTTAAATATCTCATATTTGATATATTTAAATACCCTAATATAAGGGTATCAGTTCTAAGCTGTAAATCAACTATTTGTATATTTATATTTATATTTTTAAGATATTTTAATTCTGTG